CAATAAGCTTAGCTATGTAGCATGTGCTGTAGCTCATCGAGCTTCTACAGAATCGTAGTGTCATTTGTGTCTACAGCTTCTTTCACTGCGAATGATGGGGCGTGTCAGAGAGGCTGGATTTGGTTTGCCGCCTGCCCGTTCTCCATTAGTTGTCGAAGCGGGTGACCGGCAACAATTGCTGGAAAACGACTGATACGAGATATGATACAGTTTCGTGGCTCGTCCACAGAAAATGGAAAGAAACGGGCTGGCGCAGCGCCGAACCCATCGCCCCTGACACGCCCCGTCATTTGCAGCGAACAACACTAAACAATAAACGACGTGCTGGTTCAGTCGAAGTCAGTGCTTTCATTTTCCCCGGTTGCCGATGAGGGAAGACTCAGAAAGTACGACCTCCCTCTAGTTTACTCCTCTGATACGATCGAGCTGCCGAGCGGGGGGGGGTACACATAGCACATGCGAAACAGGAAAAACCACGAAAGGCTGATAACTAGAAAAAAAGTTCTCCTTACGATACGATCCCCTTCCTTATAGCGTCCGTGAAACAAGACAGACCAACTATCGAAAGAATTTTCTCAAACCAAATACGGACCCCCCCCTAAGCCCGCGACCGAATACGACCGCTCCTATTGGGGAATCTCCAACGATGATGTGCCCTGTCTTCAGTTCTCGGTTCATAGTAATGTTTTTAGCGTGCCACTGTTCTTGCTTAGGACAATTCCCGCATTGTCTTGAAGGTTGCCTTCGAAACGACTTCTCTTGTTTACCTCGGAGTCGTCTTGATTACTTTCATTGACCCTTAGCCAGGGATGATCTTTCAATCCACCAGGCGTATGCTCGTCTACTTGCTCCAGCTGATAGGTGCTCTAGCTGTCTCGGCTTTTTTGCCCCCTTGTCACGTTCCCGCTTCACTATCACGATATGTGCCTTTACTTCCTTGTTCCACAGGGAATTAAATTATTGTGCCCAGTGCCTTTGAGCGAGACCTGAAGATAGGAAGGCTTGGTCGGCGTGGATAATATTTGTTCCAGCATTTGACACCCATGTAAGAACCACCCATACAAATGTTCCATTGCAATGCCGTGGAGTCTATCAGCTGTTCAACACCTGAAATGTAATTCATCTCCTCTAAAAGTAGCACATCTAGTTCATGCGCTCCATATCGCGGAGATGAGAAGGGCGTGTCCACGTAACTCCGATAAATGTGGGTGCGAAGCAATGCGCGCTATGGGCAGTACTGTTCTGGCAAACAAGAGAGATGCGGGGTGCACCGCCTTTTTCTTGTGCCGTCTGCGTTCTCTTTATATACAAAAATCTCTGGTTTCAGTGAAATTTCTTGGCCCTTTGTACTTATAACTCTCTCACTGGAGTGTTTGCCGTTTTTGCGGCGCAGTTCGGCTTGGTGGGTCACGAATGCAGTCAAATTAAACTGTCAGCATGTACAGCTTTTAGCAATTGCAAGAGAGATTTGTTATTTACCATGAACTGACAAAGGAACTAGCGAAAGTGCAGAGTGCTCCCTCCAAGCCTAGCAGCGTACCTTTTTCGATATTAAATTCTTGCTAGTTATTTTTGTAGGTTAAACAGGTTTTTTCATAAAATGTTGTTCTTAACCGATTCTCCTATTGGTGATCGGTTATGTGCTCTAAGGGTATGGTTGACTCGAAGATCGCTTCCACCAGGTACAAATGTTTCTCTTTGTTTTTCTTTTGTAAAACTATTTCTTATTGAATTTGAAAATTTGATTTTGCAGGTCCTATTCCGATTCCGTTCGTTGGAAATATGCATCTGTTAGCATATAAAATTCTGGTCGAGAAGAAGGATTTTGCCGAGTCCATGAGAGATTTCGTCAAAGTTTGTGCTTTTTTAGTGGTCACTTCTTGCTAGGATGATTCTGCTAATTCAGGAGTACGGTAGCGTGCACACCTTCTGGTTCGGACCCGTTGCTACCGTACAGATTTGTGACTATCCAAGTGCAGCCGAAGCAATGATCAAGAACGGAGCTGCAACTGTCAATAGAGCTCTACCGTTCTTGTTCGAGACCTCACGAGGTAACCAAAGTGCACTTCTACACTGGCTGCTCGCTGTTAGAGCGGATACGGGCTCACTATTGTGTCTTCCTCATTGGCGCGCGCCTCCGGGAGACCATCACTGAAGAAATCACAACGGTAGGCCTGGTTCCGCCCATTCGGCGAGCGTGGAATCTGAATTGAACTCCGTGTAACCTCGGTTACATAATTTTATATGGTTCTGCAGGCGGTCGAGGAATCCTAGCCTCAACGGATTCGTTTTGGACCGAGCAACGACGATTTTCTCTTCATACGCTCCGTAATTTTGGGCTCGGAAGGAACACAATCGAGGAACGAATCATCTACGAGTTGGATTGGGCGTACGTTCTATTTTGAACAGTTCATGTTGCAGTTCGGCTTTGAGGTGGCATTCTGCTCACTCGCTACTTCCCCGCCGTCGTGATCATTGTTCAAGAAAACTTGACAGGTATTCCTCACAACAGTTGTCAAGTGGTCTCTACAAACTTCAACTGGGATCGAGATGATTCACAAGATTTAGCAGATCCCTAGTTGTTGGCTCGAAACGACAATGGGAAGGAGCGAAAGCGCAAAGTGCACCCCCCCCCCCTCAAAGCAGAACTACGCCCAGTTTTTGTTTCCACAAACTGGCTATGAAGCACAGAAAGGTCAAATGAGTTCAGGGCCTCGAATTTCGCATGGCTACTGCGGAGGCTATCTATGAATCAAAAATGTTTCACACCCTCGGAACCTTTTCGGCAAGGTTATTAAGCTAACAAGTCCAGTCATTATCAATGAAGTCGGTCGGGGCGTGGGTTCCGCCGAGGCGCCAGCCCGTTTTACATGGATTGTTGCGTTTTCGGACATTCGGTTAGCGATAGAGAAGGGGCAAGCGCCCCTCGAGTCCTGCTTTGATTATAATATGTTCTTACCAGTTAATGAGTAATAAAGGTCTCTCATGGAAGCTCCTTCCTTTTGTACGAATTTCTAGGTGAGCAAGTGCCAATGAGGCGGAGGTGGTGTAGTGACAAGTGGCTCACTTACCATGTGCGCGATCTGACAAGGAAGGTCTTTCAGGTAGTGGCGCGCTTTTTGGAAATGGTTTGTTGCTTGTTGTAGGGGTCCATACAAGGTTCTAGAGAGGTCAAAAACTGAGTGGAAAGAATTTGACAAGAATAGGCGATTTTAACTATCTTAATGGGCTTTGTTCTGATTGTAACTTCGAGCACGCATAGTTTATGAGGTGCTCATTAATTAAAGTCAAAAATAGTTTTGAATAAAGTCAAAATGTAGGTACCGTCACATCCAGAATCCATTAAGTCATCCGCTGCGCCATCCGATCCGCCGACAGTGAGCATGAGGGAACCGCTGACAAAAGCATCACTGCTGCGTCGGTGCATGCCAAGTGTGTTACTACATGATACTTACATTTTGACTTTATTTAAAACTATTTTCGGAGCGCAGTTAACGAGCACCTCATAAACAATGCATGCTCGAAGTTACAATCAGAACAGATCCCGTTAAGATAGTTAAAATCGCCCATTCTTGTCAAATTTTTCACTCAGTTTTTGACCTCCTCAGAAACGCATAGCAAAAATGAAACCCATTTTTGTGATCCTTGTATGGACCCCTACAACAAGCAACAAACCATTCCAAAAAGCGCGCCACGACCTGAAAGACCTCCCTTGTGAGGGCAGATCTCATAGCCCTAGCCAGCCAAACATTCCTCCCTCGGGGACGGCGAATTGGTACTGTGGGAGGATAAGAATATGAGTTGCACATCTGCTGGCCCCTGTAAGTAATTTTATAGGCTTCACCGAATTTATTAAGCCAACTACGGTTCTTAATTTGAGTAGAATGCAAACCGCATTTTGAAAGTGAGACTAATCAACGGCTAGGGCTTCATCCATGATCTTTTTATGACGCATTCAACCTAATCCAGGTGCTTGTAATGCTTGTAGGGCTTGTAGGGCTTGTGCGCCAATGGCTCCGGGACTTGACCTAAAGGCCACGTGCTATCGCTTCCGCCTCCTGAGGCGCATGTGCATGCTAACTCTTTTTGTCGGCTTTTTTCCGATTGATCAAGTCGATGGCAAGGCTCTCGGGATGACTATCTGTCAGAGCACATCATTGGTTGGGAATTTGGCTCGAGTCCCTACAACCCCCTTTTTGAGAGCTGGTACGATTCCCCTACTTCCCGTGGGTGCATTGGCACATAGTACATATGAAACATGAAAAACCACGAAAGGTAAACAACCTCTCACAGAACTCCAGAAAGGAAGTACGACCCCCTTCCCAACAGTGACAAAACGACCGAATAGGACCCCCTCCCCATGCGGGAATCCCAACAACGATGTGCCTAGGTATGTGTTGCTGCAGCGTGAGGTGTGTGTACCTACATATAGTCGGTATCGTCGCAGCCAGTCGGGGCGGGGTGAGGATGGGCGGAAGTTATCACCTCCGACTGCCTTTCTCTACCATTAGTGGTCGATTAAGAGATCAAATTAAGATGAAAACAATCGGTGCCCAGGAGGGCACATTCCATCGTTCTTGATATTAGGTTGGTGCATAAGTTCTTTCCCCGACTTTTTTGTAAATATCTCAATAGCGAACCAGCCTGAAGATTAGAGGTATGCACCATCACCATCCACTACTCGACGCCAACGCTCAGGCAGCTTGTCGATTCCATCGTCCCAGAAGGACGGGGGCTGGGACCCGAAGAAGGCCACAATGCCGCACAATCACCACTGTGACATGGTTTTGCACTGGTAATTGTGCGGCATTGTAGCCTGCAAATGCAGGGTGGGCGAGTGATAGCTAGTGTGATGAAAGAGTATCATGTACACGTCACGCACACGTGATGACGAAATACCAACATCCATGCAAACGAAATACGGAAGGATCAAAACAGGGGAAAAAAACTTATGCACCAACCTAATACCTTGCTGACTGATACCAACTGTAGGTGCTGCCACACGCCGTTATGAAAGAAATTTCGTCCCGACGTGTCACTTGGAGCTCAGTGCACCCGATATTTTAATGATATCTTAGTAAACTGACAGGACACCGAAGGAGAATGCTGCTTAAAGGCAATTCCCGCGACCACAGTTCATAGGTAATACAGTTCAAAAATAGAATTGCCTGTGTTTGTTGACTTATTGAAGAAGAAGGAAGCACGAAAAAGCGCCCGGAATAAGACCCTCTTTATTGCAATTGATCATGATCACCGGACGAGCGTAAGGTGGTCAAGATCAATTGTGAATTGCGAAAGGCGGCGATACACTGATAAGAGACGAGAGAGGCCAGAACGACGGGCGAGAGAGCACAAAGACACGGTCACTGGAGGCCGGCATGGGCCAATGGGCCTAAAACCTGAGCGCCCTGCGTTTTGCTTGCTGTTTTTCAACTTTTAAAAGCAGCATAGCCTCTGACGTTGCCTGCTTGACCATCGTGCACGGTTATGAGAACCTAGCCTTAGTTTTTCGGGGAACGTGCCTTTAAGTGACCGAATCCTACGTGTTCTAGCAGCATCTCTTTACAGATGTGAGGCTCTAGAAAAACAAATGGTAGATGGGCGGGTGTCTCTTGATCCGAACCATACATTCGATCTTCTCGTTGGGAACATCATTAACAGAATTTTGTTTGGAGAACGCTTCGAAAAGTTAAGAAGTTTTCTCACTTGTTTCTTTTTTTCTTCTTTCATTTTTTCTTTTCTCTTTTGTTTTCTTTTTCTAAGAATTTGCTTGGATGGTTCAGCAGCATTTCGATTCAAAAGCTGATAGGAATAAGGAATGAAATTAAGACTCCGAGGATATTTCAGCATGATGAAGAGAGATTTTTTGCATTGAAGTCCAAACTGGACAACGTTTTCGACGACTTCAAAACTTTCGATGTCTTCATCAATCGGTGGACGGTCTCTTTTCCTCCTCTACGTCCGTAGAGCGGAGACGCTGCTGAAGCCGCAAAACGATCTCATGGATTTTCTAGCGAGTCAAGTAGAGAAAAGGTTTGTTAGAATGGAAGCACATTCCTGCTCGCCGTATAGGCAGAGCCGGGCCTATCGTTGTGCCTTGTCCACTGGAGCGCCTTTCCCTTCAAGAGCCTGAACCTGCCGGGAATGGCGTTCATTTAAAGGCAGTTGACACGATAAAATCGGCTAATAAGATGTATTAGGTTGGCTAATAAGTAATGGCGGTTTTTTTCAATTGAAAAATTTGTTCGAAAAGTGAAACGTTTTGCAAGCAAGTTATATATCATCTGATAGGAAACTTCTCGTAGTATAAGAATATCAAAAAAGCTTTGGTTGATATATAGTTTCATGGATGAATATTGAATTAATTGAATTTGAATTTGATATTCTAATACTACGAGAAGTTTGCTATTAAACGATATTAAGCTTGCTTGCAAAACTTTTCACTTTTGAAACAAATTTTTCAATTGAAAAAACGGCCATTATTAGCCAGCCCACTAGCAGTTATTAGCCAGCCCACTAGCAGTGGGCTGGCTAATAAGTAATGGCCGTTTTTTTCAATCGAAAAATTTGTTCCAAAAGTAAAACGTTTTGCAAGCAAGCTTAATATCGTTTAATAGCAAACTTCTCGTAGTATTAGAATATCAAATTCAATTCAATTAATTCAACTATTAGCATGAAATTTCAGGTGGAACAGACGTGAGCCTGCCCAATATTGGCAAGGTGAAGGTGCCAACTTTGAAATTCTTGAAATTAGTTCCAAAGCGTCCTATTGAGATTCCCTTGCTGAGACTTCTACCTCAACCTTTTCCGAATGTATGGAGCAGCTTAAGCGATTTTAGCACTTCGAGTAGACGTAAATAGAGGCAGTTGTCGAAGATGCTAATTTTCGCCGACTTCACTTCCAACTTCAACGACTAAAAAATTCACAATATCCTCAACCAAAGCTTTTTTGATATTCTTATACTACGAGAAGTTTCCTATCAGATGATATATAACTTGCTTGCAAAACGTTTCACTTTTCGAACAAATTTTTCAATTGAAAAAAACCGGCCATTACTTATTAGCCAACCTAATAGTTATACGACTGGCTTAACAGAATTCCGTGACCTCGGACAGGCGCTCCGTGGCGCCTTTTCCAAGGAGGGTATAACGCCCTATCGAGCAACAACATTCCGTCCCAAACGCCTTCCTCGCCCGCCCGCCCACAAACGGACGACCGTTCTCGTATTCATTCATTTGCTAAGCAAATTATGAAGCGAAGGGATGGTATGAAGCGGCCGTGATGCTGCATGCATATATGGGTACACATATGCAGCCGTATCTTCGGTGATTGGCAAGATGCCTACGGGAAACTCGTCCGAAATCGATTTTCAAGTCACTGAGAACGGAGGCTTTTTCTTCGCAGGATTTTGACCGTTTCACTCCGTTCTTTCGCCATTTCCCCACTACATAGCGCCCTACTAGCATTTTAGGCCCAGTGGGAAACCATCGTGCCAACTGCCTTTAATGGGTGATGGGCTATGTAAGTGGTTTGCAAGCAAGTGGGAGATGCTTTTTACCTCAAGGCACGTCCAATTCTCAATGTGTAGGCGGATTTAGCGTTGCGGTTTCATCATGGGCTGGCCCATACTCCCAAGGCGTTGAAGGCGACCCAGTGAACAGTGCGCAATAATGGTTCTGGTTGTACTCATTCGACGATTGCAGACGGACCTTCCCTCATCAGGAACTTGTGAGAATTCACGAGAACTAAGCCCATTTTTATAGTACTATATTGCTGAGGACTTTAGAATATCCTGCATACACGAGATCATTCTGATATGTTTTTTTTCTCACAGGAAAAGCGACATCGCTCAAGGGCTTCACTCGCTGGAAGGAGAAGGAAATGATTTCGTTGACGCCTTCCTCATACAAATGGAGAAAAATAGGAAACTCGGTGTAGCCTCCAGCTTTGAGTGAGTTCCACATGATTTGGGAGGGGCGGAAGGGAGGGTGAGATTTTTGATCGGGTTCAGCCAGCTAGTGCTCGTCTTGGTGGATAGAGGCCAAACTCCGTCGCCATCATTCAATATCCTGTTCTGGAAGAGTTTCAACAGTTCCAGGGAGGAACTTCGAAATAACCCTGTTTGTCCTGTAGGCACAGTTTGGCTTAGTGCGCATTTTCGCGCTCCCATCAATCACTGCCTATGCCTCCAGTGGAGACCAAACCCCTTTCAAGCTGAACAGCGCCGAAATTTATAAAGCTAGCTATACTATTCTACGCTGGTTCCATGGGCGAGGTTAGGCGGGACCCTGTGCCTTTCCCACTGGTGTGCTCCTTCACGTCATTATATCAAAGGATGGAACGCACCGATGAGGAAGGCACAGAGGCACACCCGACTCCGCCCATCCGGCCAATGTGTACTGTGCCTTTAAGTGGGAAATTTAGCGATGAATCCTTGACGCATACACTACTTGATTTATGGGCAGCTGGTCAAGAAACCACAGCCACAACACTGAAATGGGCGTTCGCTTATCTCCTAATGTACCCAGAGGTAGGTCGTATAGTATGAGGCTTTTCTAGACACTTTTAAGCCAATTTTGATGAAACAAATTGAAAAATCACTGAGCTGATTCTTAAATTTTATGGAGCCATCAAATGGCTACAAATATAATCTATGGTTTTATCGGTTGGTTTTGCCCAGGTGAAATCCAAAGTGGAGCAGGAGCTTAAAAATGTTACCAAGTCCAACCGACCTCTCTCCCTTGCGGATCGGACAGAAACTCCATACTTTAATGCGGTATTGACCGTGAGTTGTGGGAATTTATCCGATTTCTCAACAACTTTTCGAGAGCATTGCGCTGTTCAGGAAATTCATCGATGTGCAGCGATTTTCCCTATGAATCTTGGACGGAGAGTGAATGGTGACATATCCATTGGAAAGTACAGAATACCTGAATGGAACGTCCATCAATGTGCAGCTATCACTTGTTATGTCCGACCCTAACTACTTCCCAGATTACTGTAAGGTGAATGCTCCAATCACTAGATTTCGTTTTACGGCGCAATTCGGCTTGGTGAGGCATTTTGCTGCTTGCTGTCCATCTTTGCCTAAGCCTCCTGAGAAAGCATGTCAGACCAACAACCTCTTATAAACTTTTACAATAGCACGAGTTTCATTTGCACTTGACGAGAATCCACAGGCCTCATCAAGGTGAAACGTCTGAGGTAAAGGAATCAATAAGTTGTAGAAGAAACTAGCGATTTTGATAAATGCCCCCTTTCCCTTAGCCGAAAGCGCCCGTTCTCGATTTTGGATCGACCTGCGTCGCGCATCACCTGCTTACAATCGTGTTCGCTGCGGTCGCTGGGGCGTGTCGGGGTGGGGGATGCTGAGTTTGGCGCGCTGCAAGCCAGTTTTTCACCAATCGTGGAAGCTGAAAGAGACCAGAATTGGAAGAAAACTGGCAAGCACCGTCTAGCCCTCTGCCACGGTTCCGCAGCCATCAAGAGTACAACTACCTTCCTAGTTGATTTGACATGCAGTTCGCTTTCGTGTTGAATTAGTCAGGACCTGGTCCGCGCTTGTGAGCGCCGATCTCGTCGTCTCGTCGCAACATGCATCTCCAGCCCGATCTTCCTTAAATCTCATTCTGTCTTCTTCTTTCCCTATTAGCGGTACTTGCTCAGACTAGTGCATTTCCACCTAGAGTATTGTAATAGGTTTGGATATATTCTTCTCCTCCCTCTATGCCATTCATTCCCCTAGAATCTTCCCAGCTTTTTTGGACCAGCCTTGTTCACAGCACAATAACTACTTCATAAAATTGGTTGAAATTTTTGACAATTAACTCGTTTTAGTTCGATCCAGAGCGCTACATGAAAGGGCAGAAACTTGAAGAACAAGTGATTCCGTTTGGAATAGGACGACGAGCATGTCTTGGTGAATCATTAGCACGAGCGGAGTTGTACCTTGTGAGTTCACTCCCTATCTTGAGGCCAGTCAGTCTTATTAACTGAATAACTACAGACACACTCCTTATCCCTGAGCCAGAGTAGGCGTGGCATTTGAACATGGCACGGAACTGGTTACTCGTGGATATTCCAGTCTGGGACAACTGTCATCTTGTTCTGTGTTGGACAGAGACACGACAACATTG